ATGGAGAAATTATCAGGCAGTCACATGCTTCGTGGCATATCTAACATTTTTTGTGCATGCATATAAGAAATAATCTGCAGTTGCAGTGCAGCACTCACTGAAATTTGTGTTTGTTCATAGGTCATAGGTGATAGCTAGAAACACTTCAGAACAAACTCTGCTATTACTGGTGTGTTTATGTGATTGTTTATTTTATTAACCTATGTTACTTGGATTTAGTGGAGATTTGCCTTAATCAGATACCTCTAAACTCCAAACTACGTGTATCTTGTGAAACGTTTTAAAATGGAAACAGGGTACGAAGAATCTCTGTGAATCCAGCTTTCGGCAGAGCATTTATCCATTAGTTAGAGAATTTATCCATTAATAATAATATAAATTGTGAAATTAAATGTAATACTTATGTTTAGTTGATTACTTTCTCTATAATAATTGATCCTTAATTCCTTAGCAAATAAAAGAAAAAAAGAATAATATAAAATTAAAATAAATAGTAGATGAAGTTGAAGAAGGTGTATGTAGCCTTTAAAATCAGACAAAACCAAGCATAATAACCCAACTTTTTTTGTTTAGGAATTAAGAAAGTGAAAGAATCCAGTGTTTGTTTACACATCGAAGTAAGAAGATACCTTGTTGTGCTCCGTAATACCCTCAGAGACTTGATAGACATCGGGGATGGAAGTAGATATGACATTGAAACAAGATCATAATCTTTACCTTTTGTAGCAAAAAGCTTAGATGAAACTATCACTAATACTACACAATTTCAATGTGTTCGGGAGGACGTGGATGAAGATATTTATGAGAATTGATATGACATAAGAAAGTAGTAAGATTTTATATCTTAATTTATTAATTTATAATATTATAACTTATAACATGTTGTCCTCAATATATTCATTAATTGAACCGTTTTCTTACTAAAATTGTTGTTTGTTTATTATAGATATCATGTCTAGGAGAAAATTAAGTGATTTGCGGATTTTTCGAGCTTCTCAAGAGGAACAAAAAAATAATGAGGAATCGACTGTTGTTGACTCTTCGGAAGTTCCTATTACTGTTGAAAAAGGTGTAGAAATTGAAGGTAATGTTCGACACTTTCTTAAATTGTTGGTTCATTTTGAAAACTTGCATTTAATTATTTTTTATATAGTTAAAAATAGTGGAACACGCAAGACTAAAGGACGTAGAACGTTAAAGGAATTATACCAACTTCCTCTTGGGCACCGTGTGAAAGTTGCAAGAAACGATGTCGGTCAACCTATTGGCCCAGAAGCATGTCTTATATCCGGTTACTTAGGCATGGTTGCACGTAATGCTAATCTTTTACTGATTTATTATGAGTCATGTCGTGAAATGCCAAATAGGAACAAAAATTAAGCTTTGGATTTTGTTAAGGTAATAATGTCATTATAATAGATAATCCATAACATTTCAATAGTAATTTATACTTACTTCGAACACTTATGTTATTTGTAGGAGAAATCTCAAACGATTATTTGAAGCAAACATTAGGGAAGAGATGAGAGACCACAAGAGTTCATTAAAAAAGAAATACTTCAAGCATGATCTCATCCTTGAAGAAAAGCTACAAATTGTCTCACCTGGAATGCTCAGGTATCAATGGGAAGATGCAGTCAGGTTTTGGAGTTCAAAGAAAGGACATGTATGATGTAATTTTCAAAAATAATATAAAGGAATTATAATATTGATTTTATAAGTAAATAATTCAAATTGTAGGACCGAGAGCATGTTGTTGCTAGCAAAAAACAACAAAAGTTTACTCACACAGCTGGATCGAAGAGCTTTGCTTATATAGCTAATGATGAGGCATTATAGATTATTCACATAGTGATTTACAGTTGGTAGCACATACTAACGAAAATTAATTATATTATTAATTAATTTTTTTCAAGACTTAATTTTTATTCTACATTGTAGGAAAATAAGTCTAGTGGTAAAGTTGGATGAATAAAACTCTTCGACATGTCACATACAAAAAAGGATGACACTCATATGACTACTGAAGCTACATAAATTATGTTATATTTATATCTATAGTATGACATTCTTATTTAAAATAATTATTGAATTGATTATTAGGAAAAAATGAGGGATAAAAGGGCGAGTTTGAAGCTACGGCTTCATGTAATGGTATTGTTAATGTAGATGACCTCGAAAATCAAGTTATTAATGAAGTTTTGGGTCCTGAAAGATATGGTTAGGTTTGTTGTCAAGGATCATTCGTTACACCCACAAAATATTTTGGATCTAGTTCATCTCAGTACATGTCATCACAGAGTTAGTCTTTCCAATTAGAAATTAGTCGTTTAAAACAACAATTGGCTAAAATGGATCAAAAACTGGCTAACATGAAAGCAGAAAATGAAGCGAGGGAAGCAGAGAGAGAAGCAACATATCAGCAAAAATGTAAAGAATTTGAAAATTGGCTTAAAGCTATGGCGCATATGATACGAAAAAATCAACCTCAGAGTCCACCATTTTAGGTCTTATTTGAGATATATGCTTTGTTTATTCTAGTTAACAATGTTGAACTACATTATATATTACTTTAATGTAAAGTTTGATTTATTATAATGGATTTAAAGTTGGTTGTTATGGAATTAAAGTTTGTTGTTATGGATGTTATGTTTATTGGATAATGCTACAGGTTAAAAATTTAAATTTGGGTAACAGAAGAGCGGGAAACACCGTTTGTAAAATCTGTGTTAATTAGCGGCTTTTGTATAACAAACACCACTAAATACATAATTAATATCGGCATTTTAGAAAAAAAATGCCACTAAAATTTTCAAAATTTGCGGCGTTTATACAAAAACGCCACTAAATACATAGTCAATAGCGGTGTTTTAATTTACAAACGCCGCTATATGTCATGACCTTTATCGGTGTTTTTGGGAACAAATGCAACTATATTTCATAACATTTAGTGGCGGTTTTTTACAAACGCCACAAAAGAGAAAGATATACAGCGGTGTTTTACAGCAACGCCGGTAAATATCATAACCTTTAGCGGTGTTTATGGAAACAATGTAATTAAAACTCATAACCTTTAGCTGTGTTTGTAGACAAAAAACGCTGCTACCTTTTGTGGCGTTGGTTTTAGCGACACATTTGGTGGCGTTTTTTCGCCACAAATGTTTTTAGCAACACTTAAAAACGCCGCTATATGACTAAAAAACACCACTAAAAACATGTTTTGTTGTAGTGACATTTTCTTATTTCTATGTTAGCATTCTATTACTTCAATAAAGTCGTCTAACGATAAGTGACTAATTTGTTATGAACCGATAACTTTAGTGACTAATTTATTACTTTTGAAACTTCAACAGAAAAAACAAAACTTGCACAATCATTAGTGTTACCATTTGTGTAGTTTACCCATATAAATTTTTTAATTATTGATGCAAGTATTATTAAAGAAAGTGGCCAGCTGGAAACCAACAAACACAGCTGACAACCAAGAGTCACAAATCCAAGATCAAAAAAACAAAACAGAAAATAAGAAACTAAAACAACAAAAATCGGCGATCCCTAACCTTTGCTAAAAAAGGATTTCTCAATGAAAAATAAAGCAAAGGGCACAAGACTTCCATCGAGCCTTCACAAGCAATCCACGAACCACATCCAGTCTAGAGAGGTTCAAACCAACGCCCATCTTCCTCAGCTTGAAGCAGGACCCGCTCCGGAACATCTTCAACCCAGTATCTGTCATCATCGCCCACCGTCGAGTCAGCAGCGAGCAAGTTGGCCGCTCTGTTGGCTTCTCTCGGTGTAAAGCAAAACTCCCATGCATGCAAGGATCGAGCCCTATTCTTCGCTTCCCAGATGAGTAAACCGACTTCTGATCTGTCAACGGACGGCGATGAGTTTTTGAGGAACACCAACCGTGCGTCTCCTTCAAAAACCACACAACGGCAACCCAGATCGATAGCAAGCTCAACTGCATGAACGGCCGCCTGAGCTTCCGCCACAAAAACCGAGGTAACCTCCACAACCCTCCTTCAACATGCACCGAGAACAACACCATTCCCTTATAACAACGCATGACCACGATATTCTTTGTTGTTGCATGTAACGGGAGTCGAAGTTTGCTTTGACAAAAGGCGCAGCCGGAGGCATCCAATGAGCTATGACCACCTGATGAGCAATAAAAGGAGATTTTGTCGCAGCCTCTACTGAACAAGGTAACCCTTAAGAAAAGTTTGGAGCTCATTCAACCTCGTACGGTAGCCCTCATGATAAAGTTTGTTACGAGCATACCATAGGGACAATATAATAGTCATAATTTCACCATGTTTTGCGACTGAATATTGCTCAAACAACCAACTTAACCACTCGACAAAGTCAAATGAACGAACCTGCTCTGGCCAGTAGTAACCCATTTGGGTCCAGATTGATGCTGCTAAACCACAATCCCTCACGACATGGATATCCGTTTCTGGGATCAACTGGCACCCCTGATAGAAGCGACTGATGATGATCCTTCGGGCGTACAGAACTTGTTTCGTCGGAACAAAATTCTGAGAAAATCTCCAGATCTATAGTTTTATCTTCCGTTGACAGTGAGCTCCCCAAATTCTTCTATAAAACAGGCTCAAAGAAGGGGAGCCCTCATCATAAATGGCAAAACTCACTAGATATTGCTGTAAAAAAAACAATTTAGGTGATAATGTTGTCCTAAAAAATAATTGTTCAAATGGTGTGAATTATACAATGCATGGATTGGTCGCCATGCAAGCCAAACGAGATCATAGGTCGCCATACACTCGGTGCGACCTTGTAGGTCGCCATGCAAGCGGCTCGAACTCCTCCATGATTCTGCTGAAATCATGACAAAGGTGGCTCTGCCTCCCTCACCCCTATCTCCCTCATGCATGCAGCAATGAAATCACGACAAAAGTGTTCTATACGAGCTGTGGCGAGAGGATGAAGCTTTGCTACGTGCTGTGGTGAGAGGATGAAGCTTTGCATGGGCCATGCACGTCAGAAGAGGTCGCCTGCATGCAGTGGATAGCAGGCGAGCATGCAACGGGGAGCAGGCGCAGGACAAAGTCGCCCAGCGTGCATGGCGACCTACCATGTCGCCTGGCGTATATGGCGACCTACAAGGTCGCCCGAAGGGCATGGCGACCTATGCTGGGAAGCTACCACGCCGTAGGTCGCCCGGAAGGCATGGCGACCTACGGCCAACACTATGCAATTCGTCCTATTTGAACAATTAATCTTGGGAATACGTTATATCATTAAATAAAAAAATCGAGAACATTATCTTGAAAGTTTTGCCCATCATAAATACTAATGAATAGAATTATTCTAATATTTTAAAAATAAATATTAATTCTACATAATAAATAATATTATTTTTCTATTTAAAATTTATAATAAATAATTTGTTAAAAAATTATCAAATATGAAAAATGAGTTTAGGAAGTTACAATCGCATTAGATGTCCATCTCCCATCAGTTTGTGCCGCGTCATCTTATAGAAAATATTTCTGTCCTTTCCAAGATAGAATCAATTTTTAAGGTATGCAGTTTCTGTACACGCTGATGTGCTATATAATATTATTTTCCTTTCATAATCTTCTGGCCCATCCAGACAAATGAAGTGGTTGGGGCGAGAATAGTGGATGTATTGAAGGTAGGGATGGTAAACTGGCAGGGGTGTGGGTATCTTTTTCCTATCTCATATTTACTTAATATTTTTGTATCTATCACTGGTCAATCATCATAACGGGTAAAAATTTTAAATTCATACTCGTCTATGTTGGTACATTCTCAAATTCACCCTCACACCCACTATCCAACTGAATACCTATTATCCATCCCGTACCCGCCTGTACTCATCAATACTTGACCAGTAGCAACCTCACAGATTACATAAGTAACAAAATATTAAAAAAATACATCCATTAAGAAGCATAATAAATTAAACTAAGGATTAATTGAGTTTATACCCTAACATTTGGTCAAATTACAAGTCATGTTTTATAAAATCTTAAGATTTATATATTAGTCTCTGAAATTATACCTAAATTCATAATGGTCCAAAACAAATTTGGTGGGTAATTAGCAGGTTGGAGATGTGGGGTGGACGGATACGGGGTAGGTAGACACAGAGTGAGTAAGATCTTAAACACATCACCTACCCACTAACCATGGTGGGTATGATGTTTTACATCCACACCAGCCACTACCCACTAAACTCATATTCGCGCCCCAACTGGAGTGGATGCGATCCAAAATCAACGAGACTGTACTCGTCTGTCATCCCTAATTGAAGGTGATAGACGCAGTGTGTAGCGAGGGCTTTAAAAATTAGGGTAAACTCTACATTTAGTATTTTAACTATTACTTTTGTTTTATTTTGGTAATCAAACTTTATTTTTTTTCAAAATCATGCATAACGTTTAGTCTAAGTTTGATTTTAGTACTCATAGTAAAAACTTATTGTTGATGTTGACGTGTCATCATAAGGTAATGTCATGGAATCACTAAAGAAAAATAAAAATGTCACATCAGTAGTTCTATTAAGTTTATAATGGTGAGGTACCAAAATGAAACCTAAACTAAATATTGTTAGAGTATGCCAAAGATCAATAATATGATGAGTAATAATACATTTATTTACTGACTTTATTGAATAAAAGCATTACCCCTATTATTTTCAGTTATATTTATGTGTTTAACATAAACTGAAAGATAATAAAGTTCATATAATAACATTATTAAAAGATCCATAGTCAAGTATTATTATGAGCATGGATAATAATACGCTTAAGACTAACATGTTATTGATTGATGACAACGAGTTGTCATTGACATAGAGATGTCAGAATTTTTACATGATTATATTGTTAGAGAACAATGTATTGGATCGACCCATCATGAGCATATGTCCTGGATTATTATGTAACGGTCATAACATTGCTCACGGTGATGACTATATGTATGATCCTCAGACTTTAGATCAATGTCATCCCAACATATATTGTTGTATGTTTTGATACAGTTAAACATGCTCCGTAACTGGTTGTACTATAAAGACTGTTATTGAATATATATCAATATATGTAGTGGGGTGTGTATGATTAAGATAGGATTTGTCCTTCCTACATAATAGGAAATATATCACAGGCCACTTGATTGAGTGAGACTAGAAATGCATGGTCATGCTCGAATAAGTTGATATGTGATATCACAAATTATTCGTTAATTATAGTTTACTCTAGATATCAAGAAACAACAGATGGGCTATACTAGTGTGAGTATTCTAAGACTTGTGCCTATTCTAGATACAAAGGAAAAAATGATGTAATACATAAAAGAGTTAATCGCGAAGATGATATGTCAAATTATAATTTCTTGTAACTTAGGTGACAATGATATATTGCTAGATGTCACTCATTGCATGTAATAATTACTACTAACGTTACAAGAACCTACAGGATCACACCCTAGGATTGAAATGAGCAAAGATGTACAATTTGTTGTATGTTACTAAAATATATCTAGAGTTAATATATGTATATTTGATATACATATGATTTTAATTATCCCGAGTATAGTAAGTAAACATTAAAAGAATGTAATTTTGATTACAACTATTTTAATTGATATTTAATTCGAAATAATTAAATAAGATTTTAAATAAACATTAAATATGGTAATTCATATTATAAGTCTTTAATGTATATTTAATTTGAATTAATTAAATAAACTTTTTTATTAATTCAAAATAACTTAAAAATCCCTAATGTGTTAGGGTAACTGATATATTTAAGTAAGGTAAGGTCTAGCAGCCGATTACTTTCTCCGTTTTTCTCAAAACTAATTTTGGGAAAAGTAAATTTTGCTCTCAATCGGGTGAACTAAGTAGAGGTCGAGACGTGTTTTCGTGGATGCTTATGATTCAAACCGTTTGTGATCACCATTAGTCGATGTTGCATTTGTTGTTTTTCAAGGAACCCATTGTAAGTATTCACATCCTTTCCTCCCGATTTCGGTTTTTCGTACTTGGATCACTGGTGAGACCGTCGAGTTTTGTTTCCGCTGCGCCATAGGGTGCACCGACGGTCCCAACAATGGTAACAGAGCCACTTGTATGATCCGAATTTGGGTTAAATTCTTGGTTGATGCGATATGTATGAGATGCATGTTCTAGTTTTATCGTTTTCAACAAATATGCATGATATCATTGTTCGAATCGATAACCACAACTATTAATATGTTAATTTGTTAATATGATTTTACAATCTATTTGTTGCTACAAGGGTTATACAAAATCCATATGTCAATTATTGACATGATGATCCGTGTGAGTGCGATTGCAGATTGCGTTTGGCAGTGGAACAATGGTTGTTCCGATGCAGAAATCCATCGGGATTGAAAATCCCAAAAACACGATTCTGTTGATAAGTGTTATCAAATCGTGAGGTTTTTCTATAGAAATGGAAGTACAGTTTTTCAAAAAATCCTACCGACCGTACCACGACGGCCGATGCGCGCTAAAGACTTTTCCCATTTACCCTTCATCAGCAGTATAGATTGTAGGCCCATATTAATATTTTTAACAAAGGCGTAACAACGTGTATATATATGATATGTTTTTCACGGTGTTTAACATGCATGTTTATAGCCCTTGTTCAATTTACAATGGTTGAATTTGAAATACGGTCTGCGAGCCGTGCCTTTCTATATCTCATTTGTATTTCTCTTCTCATTTTACTCCCTCGTATGTAAAAAAGGGTTCTTTTAAAATTGTAATCCTATTAAGATTCACAAGGAGTAGAAGAATGGACTGAACTAAAAGATAGAAGATACCTAGAGAGCAGTCTAAGGTTTTAGGGTTTTTTGGTTCTCCCATTTTCTTGGGATGAGCCACATTAGTCATTGTTTTTGGGCTATAATCATTGTATCTTATTTATTACTATATGTAACACCCCAACCCATATCCTACCCGAATACGAGTCTGAGATGTCACATTGACTTTTTAAAATATTTGCTTTTACAAAAGAATGAAAATTCTAACTTTTATTAAAATCAGAGTACATAATTTATTCAATTTCACTAAAAAGGTTTGCAAAACTTATCAGAGCATATACAATTCAAATATTTAATTACATGCCAATTACATTCTATACAATAAAATACATGTTAGTCAAATACTTTTATGATCTGATCTTTGAAAAGGAGAAGCTGACCTGACTTGCCTATCCATGCTCCTCTTCTTGCTCACGGAACCTACGTTTGAAATACTCACACGCTAAGTCTATGACTTAGTGAGGCAAATAACACACATAATAGAAACTCTAGATACTTAACTATGCATGAACATTTCACATTTCATATATTAATATAATAATTCATATAACAACTATATATATTCACGTATATCATCACTGTCCTAATCACATCATTGTCATTATTCCATTTAGAACATATAATATTGTATTTAACATTTGTAGCAATTCATACCATATCTTTCATAAATAAAGCATATAACATCACACAATGTTTCTTTATGTTATTCCTTTTATTAGCCCATGTACACTTTTGAGAACTAAAGATAAGTGAGTACATAGAGGTTGTGCACATATGTTGTCACCACAACTCGTATAATTCCCACTAGGGGCACATAGAATTTATCCTTGAAGACCGTGTAGAAATGTCCTGAAGGATCACATATAACACATATGTCCCGAAGGACCACTCCTTAAGAACCATATACAGATTCCAATGGACCAAATAAGTGTACCGAAGTACCGTATATATGTTCCAAAGGATTACATATATGTCCCGAAGGACCACATAGAACCCTCGACTCTTGGCATGCCAACTATACCCCTAGCTCTCAATTCACATAACATGGGCATTATCATTATGTTTATCACATATTCACATAAGCACATAGTTCACTTTCGTAGAACATTTTCATATGATTCACATTCACATGTCACATAATCACATAGCTCGTTCACATATATATATGTCCTCATATAGCTTATATCCTTTCTCATGCAATCACATAGGTCATATCATATGTCTTAGCTTTCATGTTTATATAATCATTTATATCTATACAACATAGCTTATATTCCAAGTTCATGTCATCACATAATTCATTTAACATACATAATATAACATGTAACTCATGTAATAACATACGAC